CTTGGCCAGCCCCTGCTACCACCATCCAACACAAAGTCATGACAAATGAATAGGCAGTAACAAGATCCTCCAATATTCAGAAGAGGTAATGTTTTCAGGTAGTGCAGGAAAGAAAGTTCTAAATTTCACAAATACTGCATAAAAATTCATTGTAAAAACATAGGTAAGAGAATACCTCAACTGGAAACTGTGTGTTTTATATGATGCTATGAGATTAAGTTAAATAAAATTTCAGTGCTCATGCTTAAAAAAAAAAAAAAAGTTAGCCTAATCTTAAATTGCCAGAAGGCATGGCAGCTGGGGCTTCAAACCTATGCTACATTTTAATTTTTTATGGAGACAGAATAAATTGCTTTATTTTTTCAAACTGAAGTACGTAAGAAAAACTACAGGCAGATCCTAGAGCGCCAATGAAGAACAAAGCAAGCTCCTTAATTTAAACTCTTCCTTACCAAAGTATTTCAACTTGTCCACTGACAGAATTGTCCATAAGAAGAGATCTTTGTTTTTACAGTGAAAGTCAATGGAAAAATATATATGATTTTCTTTATAAACAAACTTTCACAATCATTGGACACCTACATCCTTCTTCCAAAATCAGGCTCTGTCTAAACCAACAATTTATTGAGTCTCAGGTATGTTCTCATGGACAATGAACCCACTCTCCCTACCAGCAGCAATGTACCTAGACACCTAGAATCTGAAAGAAATTTTTATTGGAAGTCAAGACCAGTCATATAATTTGTGGGTCCCAGGCAGAATGAAAGTCCTGGGTTCCTCTACCAAATTTTATTAAAAATTATTAAGAATTTCAAGGCAGCAACGGCAAATGCAAGGCCCCGCTAAGTGTGAAGTCCTGTGGAACTGCTTCAGTGTCATATACATGGCTGTGCTGGGAATCTAAAACACAATATGTAAAATGCAATTAAATATATATGCTCAATAGCACTGTTACATAGGCACAGTTTTTTTAATGTATACAGGTAACCTGTTAATTCAATCCTTTTTAGTCAATTCAGCAACACAAACAAAAGCATCTTCACTCCCACTGAACCAACAAAAAGACAATTACCTTACAACAGGAGAATTCATCCTCAGCTAACTGGTGCTCATGCCTTTTGGCAAAGCTGGTACATGTTCTAACACTAAGGCAGTATTTTAAGAATATATCTATGCATGTGTTTTAGTCTGTTGAAGAGAGTTATTAGTTTGTAAAACTTTTTGAAAAAGGAAGACATGGCAAGTAAAGAAAAAAATGGGTGTGTTGGGGGAGGAGTCCATGCAGGTACTAATGGCAGAGACTGGGCTTCCAGGTTCCAGTTGAGTCTTTTGGGCATCATGTTTTGGAATGCCATATTGGCAGTGCGTAGATATTCAGAAATACCATAAACCACCACAGGCTCTTCTGTTTTTCTTTAAGCAGTGTATATTTCTCCACCATGCTGATCTGGGAAAACAATTGACATCAGTCTTGACAGTGCTGGAGTGGCAGGTTACAAAGAGTCTCCTGGTGGAGAGAAGCAAAGGGCAGGAGATGCCATAGGCTAAGTTACCTCATTACTAATATCTGCCCAACAAGGATTGGAGTGAGATTTATGTGCTGAGAAATCAAGTAATCATTGATGTTCCAGGCAAGCAGCGCCAAAGCTTGGATTTTACTGGATCATATCAAGTGAGGGAGAAGAAACAGATGTATCTTCCCAACTGGGAAAAAGGAGACAGGGTTATAGCTCAGAAAGAAACTATGTGTGATGCATATGTGCCTGATTACACAAAGATGCCTTTCCCTTTCACATATATCTAGAATATTCAATTTATTTCAATGTTTGTGTATTGCTTGATATTCTATTAGCTTGGGGAAAAAAAATGACTGTTCCTATAAATGTCATCATGGAATAGAATTATAACTTGTTTGTTCAGATAACTTTTGTTTATCTCCTTGAGTTATTCCAATACTGACAGAGACTCATACCACTCTCTTACCTCCATCCAAACATGTAGTCAGAAAATGTTCTTAGGAAAGTATCTTTTTCTTGTTTACTTAGCACAAAATACTGTTTTCTCTCTTTTTTACAATCTCCTGATTTTATAGTCACTTCGTATTTTTAGAGTATTTAAAAGCCTTGAGACATAATATTTTTTTCACTGAACAAGTCATGTATGAGTATCTATTATGTGAGAAGCACCGTTTTTGCTCTGTAATTTTAGGTATTAGTTCAGCGTTTATCACTGACTCACTGAATGAAAAGTTTTACCTTTAAAAATAGAGTCAAAGACACTCAACAATATAAAATGAGAATATTGTGTACTAATCCCTGAAACAGAGAACTGTGGTTGTCTTTAGGTTTAAGACCAAAGGAGGACTGCATGACTCTTATATCCCCCTCACTCAGCAACCTTTGTGTGCAATTTCCCTCTATATTCATTTTTAACTAAGTCTATAAGTTTGGAAGAGACCATAGTCAGCTCTAGGAATTAACAGTAAAATTTTAAAATTCCTTTCTACACTAGAATACTGTAAATCTAATCCTCTTACTCCCAATAATTCCATAGTTTATGTATACGTAGAAATTTTCCATTTACTTTCTTACCTTCCCTCCTTTCCTTCCTTCCCTCCCCTCCTTCTTTTCTTCTAATTTGTATTAAGTTCTTGTGCTTTCAAGCTTCTCTAGGGATCACGTGACTTTCTAGGACCATTCTGACTTACGCCCTGGTATCTAGGAATATACTGATGGGGATAAACAGGAGGCTGGACATTATCTGCACTCTTCCTTGATTGATGGGGGTTATTGGGTTGCTTACATGCTCTTTACTTATTCAACATCCAAAAGTCAACCACTATAAAAACACATATTTAGATGTCAATGATGTAAGCTGAATTCACACAACCGTTAAGTTGAAATTGGCAGCACTAACAGTGGTCCCCTCCACCTTAGATATCTTAAATGGTTTAGACAACTATCTTATTCAGGTAGTGATAAGTCAATACATGTTCTGGGTCACAGTACTACTTCAAGATGACAATGAGTATGTGATTTTTTTTTCCAGAGTAGCCATAAATTAATGTTTTTGTTTTTTTTTGCTTTAAGAAGCTTATGAGAGAAAAAAATAGTCTCAACTTCCTGATTTTTTTTTTTCACTCCCTCTCATAGTTAAAAACAGACTGCCTGTTGTCTTTGTTTTTGTAGGAGCACCATATCCTCACTGCATTTCTTCAGCCATATTAACTGTTTATGAGATGCTTTATCCAAAAGAACATAAATGAAGTAAATTTAGTCATTTCTGTCTTCCTTCTTTTACATGTGCTATTGGATTTCTGAATTCCATGGGAACTACAGAAACAGATGTGTTGAAATATACTTAGTTTTCTTTAAAGGAAAAAAGAACACTATTTCCATCGATCATTATTTTTCCTCTATTGACATGAATTTAGAAAACCGTGCTACTAATTTTGCAAAATTGTGATGTTAAGGATTCTAAAAACCTGAGTGCTTTCTCTTTTACCTAGAGTTTTTAGTTATCATATAACATTTGGTCTACTTCACACTTCATTGACTAAATAGGAATTATCTGTTATCATTCATTATGTAGGTTATTGTCAACTTGAGATACTTGCCCTTAGTAAAACTGCAGCAGGAAGGGCTACATAATTTATGAGGCCCAGTGCAAAATAAAAATGTGAGGTCTCTTGTTTAAAAAGGATGAAGAATTTCTAGACAGTTACAGTAGAGCATGAAACCAAGTTCAAGACCCTTCTAAGTGTAGGGCTCTATGCAGCTGCACAGATGGGATACCCATGGAGGCAGCCTTGAATGGTGGCATATCTCAGCTAACTTCTAAATCCTATGCTCTATAATCACATTTCCTACCACCAGTCTGCACCAGAGATGTGCAAACTTCAACAGATTTGGAGCTTTTATTTCTATTTCCACATATTAAGGAGGTATATGTTTTCACAGATTACTTTGACTAAGATTTTTTTTTTTTACATTTCATGAGCTTTTGGGCCTCACCCAGGTTGATAAATATCTCAGTAATATTATTGTAAAATGGAGGAGTTCCAATATCTCATGTGAACATACTGGGGTGGGGGAAAGTAAAGCCTTCCGATTTGGGATTTATTCATGTCATTTGGAAAGTTTTCCCCTAAGTTTGCATGAATTGATTTTGGTGAAATACAATTTTTTTGTTGAGAACACACAAATAAGATTCACAGAATAGGGCTTCCCTGGTGGCGCAGTGGTTGAGAGTCCGCCTGCCAATGCAGGGGACACGGGTTCGTGCCCCAGTCCGGGAAGATCCCACATGCCGCGGAGCAGCTGGGCCCGTGAGCCATGGCCGCTGAGCCTGCGCGTCCGGAGCCTGTGCCCCGCAACAGGAGAGGCCACAACAGTGAGAGGCCCGCGTACCGCAAAAAAAAGACGATTCACAGAATAATAACCAAAACTTTCACAAGAAGCCATGTAGTCATTCATTAGTCAGTCTGGTCGTCTCCAGTCAGCTTTTTTATTCCCCAGGTGTAGACCTTCATAAAGAAGGTGGTCCAAAAAAGAAAAAAGGAGATAGTCTATAAGGCAAATGCTGTCATCTAGAGAGAGAGAGAAAAGAACATACAGACAGTGGTAATTTTCCAAGTATAATTCATATAAAACTAGAAAGCCTCTGTCAGAATTTCACATCTCAGAATGTAAAAATTTTCCAAGGAGAAATCATCCTTTAGAAGAAATCAGCATTTTGTAAAAAGGAGCCATTAAGTATTCCCTGAACTTGAGGTGAAGGGTTATTCTGTTAATAATTTTGTATAATAGAATCTATCAAGAGATTTTTTTTAAATTTTAAGCAGGAACTTTTAAAGATGGTGCTCTTAAGTCCATGTAAAATAACTGCATGAGAGCCAATTGTTTTAGCTGTCTAAAAAGTAAATGACTATATAGCATCATGTTTAAACAAATAAAAGAAGTTAAAAGAAGGCTGAATTATCTGTAGTATATTGGTCAGTTTACCTCGTTTTCATGATACAGTACAAAGACACTCCATTTACTCTGGCTTTAAAATGACACAAACTGTAAAATCAAACAGACAAATACCAAAGGAATCACTAAAAATATCTGAAAAACCAAGGGAAAAGGTAGGGATCTAGCCTGTCTCTATATATTAGTTGTGCAGACATTTAAACAATTTACTTTATAAGAATGAATAGTGCACTGAGATACTGAGATAGCAATACCCAAATCAATTCACTTATTCCCCCAAAACATTTCTAGTACAGGTTTCCCCTGATATCCAAAAGTAGGACATCCCCATGTAACCTTTCATAAGCCAAAATGGAGTAAAGCAAAGAAGCAGTACCTTCAAACACATCTTGCTAACGGACACACAAAATAAATTGAGAAAAATCACAGATGCTCACAGACACAGGTCAAAGCTATCGCAGCTTGATGCTGAGATGGTGAATGTAGATCCTGGGGAAGGAGTTGGTGGTACCACTCTCACTGCTAGGGGTGTCCGCTGCCTCTCTAACAGCTCATTGCAAACCAAAGGCCAAACACTATTTTTGCTTTTTTCGTAAAAGTGAAAATCCTCTTCCAATTTCTTTCCATTATGGAAAACAGGTACTGATGAAGGTCTTCCGTAAAAGCAAAGTGGCATAAAACAAACTTTTGAAAAGTGGGAGGTGCCTGTAGATCTTATTAACATACACGCTGCCTAGATTACTGGAAAACAATCAAATTGTTATTTAAGGAATATCCTAAATCATTTTAAAATTTAAGCAGTATGAACTGAAGTAGGTTCTATTGTTCTTTTTTTTTCAGTTGTCAGTAGTTGGTTCTGTGAAAAGTTTTGAAATTTAATATTGCACTGTAAATTTGAAATTTTTCTGAGCTATATATTTATGAGATATATTTTGATAATACATTTATATGTGTGCCTATATAAGTATATTATACATACACTTGATATACTTAAAATCATAAAAATAAGCAAACTGAAATCTTCCATTTAAATTTGTTTAAATAGAAGGGCTCAGGCTTCTTCTTATCTAATAAGATATAATTAATTGAGTAACGTTAAAGCGTTATTCATTCATTCATTTAGCAGATACTTATTAAGTACCTACAATATACCAGGTGATGTCATAAGTGTTAGGGATGCTGCAGAGAACAAATATAGGTGCATAGTTCCATGTAAACCTCATAATATCCCATAAGCAGTAACTGTTTCCATTTTACAAAAACTTGCTCAAGAACTTACTGCTGGCGAGTGAGGGAGTGGATTTAAATTCAGTCTCTGCTTACTTAGAAATCATGTTTTTATGTCACTTTTGGTGCCTCCCATATAGTTAGCCCTTCCTGTGCTGATGAAAGTTTTAAGAAAAAAGTTTTGATTTTCAATAACTTGACAAGCTGTGACAGGTGAATTACCAGTGCAGCTCTTGGAAAGTTTATTATAGTTTGGTCAAAACACTTAAATCCTTCACAAGCAACATCTCTAGTCATTAGGGAAATGCAAATCAAAACCACAATGAGATACAACTTCACATCCGTTAGGATGACTAGTATCAAAAACAAACAAACAGAAAATAAGTGTTGATGAGGAAGTGGAGAAATTGGAACCCTTGCGCATTGTTGGTGGAAATACAAAACACTATACCTCCTGCGCAAAACGGTTTGGTGATTTTTCAAAAAGTTATGCATAGAATTTCCATATGATCTATGAATTCAACTCCTAGGTATATACCCAAAAGAAATGAAGGCAGGGATTCAAATAGATACTTTTATACCAATGTTTATAGCAGCATTATTCATAACAGCCGAAAGGGGAAGCAACCCCAGTGTCCATACACAGATGAATGGATAAATAAAATGTGGTACATACACACAATAGAATATTATTCACCTGGTATATATATACAATGGAATATTATTCACCTTTAAAAAGGAATGAAGTTCTGATACATGGTACAACATGGATAAACCTTGAAGAAACTATGGTAAGTGAAGTAAGCCAGGCATAAAAGGAAAAATATTGTATAATTCCACTTATGCGAAATACTTAGAACAGGCAAATTCATAGATACAGATAATAGAATAGAGGTTACTGGGATCTAAGGGAAGGGGAATGGGGTGGGTGGAGGAGTTTCTGTTTGGGATGATGAAAAAGTTGTAGAAATAGTGGTGACAGTTACACAACAATGTAAAAGTACTTAATGCCACTAATATGTACACTTAAAAATGGTTAAAATGGGAAATTTTATGTTATGTATATTTTATTACAATTTTTAAAAAAATCCTCCACAGGTAGTAATGGAGTTGTATGCATCCCAAGAACACTGAGAACTGGAAAGGGCAGGCAAGCGATCAGAAAAGAGGATGAAAATATAACACTATTTTTAAATAAAGAAGCAAACAATTTGCCTATTTCAAAATTTCAATAAGGTCTTCCCCTAAATACATAGCTTAGAATACATTTCTTATCCTTACTATAAGTAATCATCCATAAATGTCAGAAAAAATATATCCACTTTAGCAGAAGAAGTCAGACAAGATCAAACAGAATGCATTTGGGGTGATGGTTTATATTAGGATATTATTCTTTGACTTAACTTGTCTGAAGAATGTAACACTAGTTAACCTTCTTAAAAGATCACCATGTGGGAAAATGGGCTTTCACAAAAAAGGAAGTATTAAAGGCTTTTTTATCTTCTTCATTTTCTCAATGTCTTATTTTCTCAATCTCACATTGAGATACAGATTCTCTCTCACTCATATGTGTATGTGTGTGTGTTCTAAAAATGACAGAACACACTAATAAGAATTTCTGTATTCATCAATCTTATCCATGTGTACTAAGCAATTTCTTCCCAATATAATTTTGTATTAGAAGAAGTTCAATAATTTAAGGTGGAATGTAGTGTTATTCCCCTATAAAAATGCAATATATTATGAAGTATCCATGTCAGAGACTTCAAAAATTATATTTCTATATGGTGCTCAATAAAAAGCTATTAAATCAACATCTTAATATCTGACACTTAATTGACAACCATGCATGCCTACTGTTGACATCTACCTGGTTTTATGTGAACCCAAGGACGACTGGCATCAGTTAAGTGTTAATATCCTTATATGCAATTCACAACTAAGTTCATAAATTCATATTTTCTTTTTCTTTTCAACATTCCTTTTTTTTCTGTTGACTATTCCTATACATATTAATGTAGGTCCAGAATCTGAAAGCTTAAAATAAATTATGCCAAATGAAAATAAATTTGAAATTCAGTTTAACTGGGAAGGATCTCAATTGTTACACATCTTTAAAATTCACCAGGATTAATATTATATGTCATTATTTTTAATATAAGCCTAAAAAGCTAAAGAAAATTATGGAAGCAGATAGATTTTTCTGAACTTATATATAAATATGAAGCATCTATTACTTATGGGAACATCTATCCTATTCCTTAATACATGCTCAGAATAACTCTAATGCAAAAGGGTTAAATGATGAAAAATACATGTACTGAAGTAGTATTTCCTGGGTTCAAATCCTGGCTCTGCCATTTATTAATTGTGTGAAAAACTACTTCCCTTTTCTTGTCTTAGTTTCCTCAACTATAAAATGGAAATAACATACTCATGGTGTTGTTGTGAAAAGTCAATAAAGGACTTAAAGCAGTATTTGACACAGAATAAGCAGGTGACAAATATCAGGTATTATTATTAGTTCCCTTTTCAAAATCAAGAGAATTGGGGCTGGAAATCAGGTACTTTCCACACCAAAGTTATACATGTAGTAAGATGTGTAGTCAGACCCTAATTCTCTACTAATTCTTGTTATTTTAGAGAAAAAAAGGAAACTATCTATAGGACACTTCATCATTGGAAGGTTATGATTATTAAAATTATATCAATGGCATTTAGGTAGGAAACTTTAACACTTGTTGCTTCTACTTGGCATTATAATAACAAAATTTTATTGAGGAAAATGATTAATGAAATTTTGAAGTCAAGGTATCTCTCTTCCTGCAGACAGCCAAAGCACACAAGAATATTTTTTGACAATCATTCATATAATTTAAAGTTTTTCTTTTGTAATATTCTTTGTAATAACTCAGCTGTTTTAACCAAAAGCCAATTTTATGGTAAATAACAATAAACAGATGAAGTTCTAGTTTGGTCTGTAAAATATTTGTTGGTGAGTTTATTAGAATAAAATCTTAGGAACAATCTCCTCAGTCATAAGGTATTCAGGTTTTGATGTTAGTAAAGATCCAATGTCCTCCCACATATTTTATGGAGTTTAGCATAAACCCAAATATATTTTAAACCTTCAGTAATTACTCTACCCCCCAAAAATGTTCAATATAAATATTACTGACTAAGATAAAAGTACTGGGAAAATATTAGGGTAAAAGTTTCAAAAAAGTTAACAAGGTTATATTACCATAAACAAGGCAGTCCATCCTCTTCCAAAGCAAAGCAAAGTCATCCCTGCTCAGGGCGATTTCATGAAGATATTTTCTTATGTGATTGACTAATGTTTGGTTTTGCTTGTTTTTGTGCTATGGGAGTTTAATATGTTTCCATCTACCATGATTTTGCCCTCCTCCCTGAAACAATAAACTCTACATTCTACTAACAGTATCAGCTACAAAAAATTAACCAAGCTAACTTTTACTTTTACTAGCTAACTTTTACTTTTACTGGCTTGTTTTCTTGGACTACAAACATGATGAGATGAGATACACTCCTGACCCCCTGGCCCATCAAGTCAAGTCATAAGACTGAAATGACTGGCATTTATGGCAAGATTTATTGTCAAAGCATTGTTTAAAAACTAAATGAGGAAATGTCTCTCACCTACTATGATAGGATAGTAAGTTATTCTATTGTTTAGAATCTGGGCTAACATTTAGTGCTTAATTTTTTTAAGCTTTAGGGTGATTTCTATACTTATCTAATATCTAAAACTTTTTGATAAATTTGAATAAGGTTTTCTTTTTTTTTTTCCTTGTACTTCACATTTTTACCAAAGCTCCTTTTAGATAAAAAGTAAATGAGCT